CTTCACAAACACAACAGAACACCCAGCGGAAGGGCCATATCTCCCCATGCGGCCCGAGGACACGGGCCTCCGGGCAAAAGCACCACTCCCAGGAAGCCTCCCACGAGGCTGTGGCCGGGCGCTACCTCGCAGGTGCTCATATCCAGGGACAGCTTGAGGCCCCCACGGCCATCGCAGTGGCAGGTGTAGCTCCCCGGGGAGTTGATGCAGGCCTGCTCACAGCGTCCCTCCGCACACTCGTCCACATCTGCAGGCCACAAGGTACACCTGAGCCCCGCTGCTGCCAGTGCACACCTCGTTCTCGGATCACACCGCCGTGGACACGCCCCCAAGCACGTGACCCCAGAGACCCCACTCCCAAGGCTCCCACCCAGCCAGCCGCACACACTGTGATTCCGCGGCTCTCTGCTGGGGAAGTGGCCACTGTGCTCGGAGACAGGGGAGGTCAGCACAAGCTGAGCCTGTTCCCTGGGACACCCAGACTCAAGGTTCCGGAGCAGGTCCGTGCCAAGGACAGCATTGCTTGCAGGTGAGCATGGGGCCCAGGGATGGCCTGGAGGGGAGGCGTTGGAGGCAGGGCCTGGACCACCCCATCCCCTTTCTCAGGAAGACAGCGGGAGGGGACATCCTCTCTGTGCCCCCAGGAAGCGATGGGGCCAGGACGGCCCCAGCACAGCAGGTGGAACCAGGTGGAGAGAAGCTGGTGGGCTTGGGGGCACGGGGGCCCTGCCTGCCTGCCCCTCCCGTGTCTGTGGCAGGTGGCAAGGTGCCCGGCTACATCAAGACGCACAGGCTTGTCTGCGTGTGCACGCCCGTGCCCGTGTGTGCGCATGTGAAGGTACCCTGGCAGGCCTTCTCCTGGGAGCTGAACGCGAAGCCCTCGTCGCAGAGGCAGGAGTAGGAGCCGGGCAGGTTCCGGCAGCGAGCCTCTCCGCAGGCGCCCGTGTCCGCACACTCATCCACGTCTGCAAGAAAAGCGAGCTGCGCTTCAGGTCGGCCAGGCCGCTGGCAGCTGGCCTGGCCCGTGCTGCCGCCTGCCCGGCTGAGGCGTCCAGCTCTGCTGGGTGAGTGATGCCTGGTGGTGTCGGACCAGCTCTGGGCAACGAGGCGTCCCCTCCAGTCCCCCTCCTCCTCTAACCCCACCCCTCCCCCATCCTCTCCTCCCTCCTCCTCTCCTGCCTCCTCCCTTCCTTCTATCCACTGGGCTCTGCAGCTCCAGGCCCAGGAGCAGGGTGGGGATGGGGGCATTTCTCACCAGGGGCCTGGTGAAGAAGGTTGATTTCAGATACGGCAAAGGGCACCCACTGGCTGGGGTGCACAGGATAGCTGCTTAATTCAAATGACCGCAGTCCAGGAAGTCCAATGTCACCCCAGGGAGTTTGGCCTGAAGTCCGCCCTGCGCCCTGGAGCCCCGAGCTGGCTCCTGACCCTGCAGCCACAGCCCTGGGCGCTGCCTCTCCCTTACTCACACCAGGGTCTGCCCGTCGGAATCGACTCCAGTCACGTAAATGACCATCAAGGGTCTCCCCTGAGGTTTCGTCCACTCTGCCACTTTGGCAAAAAAGTAGACAAAGCCTGCCTTGAAGAACTAGTTCCTACAGAGACAGAAGGAACATCGAGAAGGTGCGGCAGTGCTTCAGGTAACACCGATTCCGCAGACAGCAACGCAGAAGTGTGTGCGGCCAAGACGCAGCTGCTCACGACTTGGCCACAGGGCAGCTCACCGGCAAGCAGGCTTTCGGATGAGAAAGCCGGATTTCTCCCAGGCCGCAGGCATGAGCCAGCACAAAGCGCACGTGCTCCCTGAGAGGAGTGTGTGAGCTGCGATGACCCCACAGGCAGGACTGACCGTGTGGACACTTCAGAGCCCACGGTCCCTTTGGGAGCCAGCCTGGGCCGATCCCCCCACCAGTCCTTGCTCCCTGTGTGCAGGTGCAGCCGTGGATCCAGAACAGCCCCAGTCGCAGGGGGGTGAGGGCGCCAGACACAGGGCGGGGAGGAACCAGGCTCGCACTGGGGACTGCGGGGCAGGAAGCTGCCCCACACAAGGCAGCCTTGAAGCGCCGGCCCCTGCCCTTGGCTGGCGAGGTCCTGCCTCAGTTGTGGGGGAGCTCGCACCTACCCTGCAGTCTCTGCTGACCTCACTGGCTCCACGAAAGCTCGCTGTCTGAGTGATGCCCAGCCCTGGGTGGCCCAGTGGCCCGTCCCTGCAGGCTGGGCAGGTGCAGGGCCCCCACTGGCCGCTCTGTGATGCCCTAGGTGGGGTCCGCAGGCCTGAGCGGCACAAAGCCCCCCCCCCCCCGGGCTGGTGTGACTGGAGGGCTGGGCCCACCGCAAACTCTGACTTGAGCGTCTGGGGCCCAAGAGGCTGCACCTCACAAGTGCAGGAGGCAGAGCTGGGGTCTGGGCCTCACCAGCACCAGGGAAGGCATGGTGCGGGGACGCCCTCTCCAGATGGGAACCTGTCCTGACTGTGTCCCCAGCAGACCCAGTGCTGGGCATCCCCTCCTCACAAGAAACAGTGGACAGAACCCTGAGACCACTGTGCTCCCAGCCTGAGCCATCACCTTTCTCCTCCCAGAGTCTCCAGCAACATGGGGGTGGAGCTGGGGCCCAGATGGTGCCCTGACCTCCCTCCTCGGGGCCTCTTGCTCCGCCCCCTCAAGCCTCAACCCTCCCAACACTCCTCCCCGTGAAGATGCCGCCACCCAGAGCATGGCAGTGGGAAAGCTGGGCACGGGCGGGCAGGTGGGTGGTGCTGGCCCCTGGCGCCAAAAGCCCAGGCCCAGTCCCGCTGTTCACGGCGGGCTGAGTCTACAGCAAGACGGCACCGCACGCCCACAGCCTCCTCGGCCTGGGTCCGTGGGTCTCAAGGTACCAGAGGAGACAGTGACAGTCAAGAGAAAGGGAGGTGTGTGGGCAGCATCAACAGGCACACCCTGAAACCTGGCAGTGAGGGTGGGGTCCTGCCATCACATTGATTATTAATCAATCACGCTAACCCCAGGCAAGCACAGAACACCCCCCTGTTCTGCACACTGTTCTGGGGGGAAAAGGCAACAGGATGCAGGGGTGCACTCAGACCACCAGAGTCTTCCTCACCATTCACAGACTTGGTGGGAGGGGTGACAGGAGACTAGTGATTGGGTCCCTAGGGGTCTTCCAAAGAGGTTAAAGCAGGGCCCTTGGGCAGGACAGCAGTGGTGCCTGGGGGTGTCCAAACAGACAGTGCAGGGCTCCCCAGAACCTTAGCCTCACAGTCAGTCGGGGTGGGCCCTCAGGACTCCCTGGTGGCAGCAGGTGCACAAGAAATGAACCCCAAGTAGAAAGGCTGCCGATCCCCTAGGAGCAGTGGGGGGATGGGCCCTTGGGTCACAGTGAGACACCCAACATGGGGCGTCTGAGGCTGCAGGCTGAAGTCCCTTCCTGGGGCCAGACCGCGCCAGGAGCATGGAGGTGGCTGTTCTCGGTGGGAGGGGCGGGGGTTCCCTATGCACTCGGGGAACCACCCTGTGGATGCAGGGACGCCTCCCGGGTCTCGTCAGGGCTGGGAGCCACCGACGTTTTCACCTCGAGCACGACTCAGGGATGCCCTGTGGCGCCCGGCCTGCCTGGGCGCCGACCCTGACGCTGCCTCTCCCCAGCAGTTCCAGCTCCTGTTTCCTGGGTGAGCCAGCCCACAGCACTGAGAGACGGCTGCAGTGAGGGGGGGGCGGGAGGAAAGGTGTCCCTGCAAAGTGGGGCGCGGGGGGCTCCTTTACAGCCTCAGAGTCTTCCACTGGGCAGCAGCCAGGGTGGACAGAGGATGGGCCACAGTCTGCAGTGGCCTCATGTGTGCTCAGGCTGCTGGGCCGAGGGAGCCCCAGCCTGGGCTGAGAGGAAGTGAGAGGGACGCTGGCCTTTCTCCGAGGGAGGCCATGGCCCAGGGCCGTGGGGCAGCCAGCCTGGTAGATGTGGGATGTCCTAGCCCCCGACTGGCACAAAAACGCCTGCCGCCCCGTGGCCTGGAAGGAGGCCGAGCAGCTGCCTCCCCTCTGGGGCTGTAAGCTCGGCCTCCCCAGCTGGGCCGGCCCTGCATGGATCTCAGTGAGTCATCCCCTGTCACGGTGCTGGGGCAGCTCCTGCGGCCGCCAACATGCCCGGGCATGTGCTGTCTCTGCAGGACGCACCCCGCTCCCCGCCAGAACCAGAGGAACCAGCCACTGCCCGCAGTCTCCTGCAGACAGCCGGCTTCAGCAGTCTGGCCATTCGGCAATTGCAGAGTTAAAAGGGGGAGGAGCGGAGAGGCGGGGTGAGCCAAAGGGTCCTGGATCCAGGCCTTACCGTGGCAAGTCTGGCGGTCCTGGGAGAGCGTGTAGCCGCCATAGCAGGCGCAGTGGAAGCTGCCTGGCTTGTTGGAGCAGATCTGGCTGCAGCCCCCGTTCTGCTGGCCACATTCATCCACATCTGGGAACAAGACACAGAGGGATTAGGGCCGTCAGAGGTGACCCACCTCCCGCCTGGAGCAAGTGGCAGTGTCTGCACACCTGACCCCACTGACTCCACCCTCCAATTGTGGGTGGGAGGCCCCCGCTGTACCCGGGGCAGTGATGGTTCACCGCGCCAGCTTCCTGGGAGACGGGGCTCTCCATGCCGTGAGGGGGCTGCCCAGGGTTCTAACCAGGTCTGGGGGGTTTTCCACAGCTTCTTTGCCAACACTACATAACTGCAGACTCCGAGAGGTCGGAGGTGAACTCACTCTGGACTCCTTGTCAATCAATGGGGGCAGGGCATTCCTACCGGCCCCCCTCAACCCCCGCGGCCTGGTCCTGCCCTCAGAGAGGAGCTGCCTACCCATCCCAGCTCACAAGGAGCTGGCCTGAGCTCAGGGCTCAGCTCGGCGGCTTTACAACCCGATGGTGCCCTGCCCGGGACACAAACAAGCCCTCCGTGCGCTGTCCAAACATTCGTGCTCTGGGAGGACTTCAGGGGCTGAGGCACCCTGCCCGCCCAGCTTCTCCCTCCTCTGCGAGCTGAGCGGAGGCTGACCATTGAGAGGCCTGGGTCCCTGACAGCCTCAGCCAGACAGGCCAGCAAGGCCGTGTCCCGGGTGGGCAGTGAGGTAAGGAGAGGAAGAAGAGAGGGAGCTGGCAGCCCCTCCGGCCCGGGGCCCTGCAGCCGGCCGAGGGAGGACCTGACGCCTGGCCCTCGCCCTCCCCTGCTCCCCCGCCAGCTGCGTGGCCTCACCTGTGTTGCAGAGCCGCCCCCTCCAGCCGGCTCTGCACTGGCAGTAGAAGTTGCCCATGAGGTCCTGGCAGACTTGGGTCCCCTCCTTATTGCAGGGGTCCGGAGAGCATTGGTCAGGCAGGTCTGCATTGAAAAGAAAGAGAAAATCACTCTGAACTGCTCCTGGTCGGCAGGGAGGGAGCGGTCATGGGGCACCAGTGTCCCCTCCACTGGCCCTGGCCGACTGCACAGATCCCCCCGACCCCAGGCAGGAGTGGGGTCACAGAACAGGCTGGCCAGGCCCAGGCAGATTCCAGGAAACCCAGGTCAGCTCAGAGGGTGTAGCCACCCACTCATCAGGCCAGAGAGGTGGGGGCTGGCCCCAGGGGCAGCAGAGGCGAGGAATGAGCCTTGCTGGCTGGGGCTCGGACCTCCCAAGGAGCAGGTCACCAACCCTCGGCTGACCCCTGGTCCCGGACCTTCACCCACATTCTCTCCACGGGTGTGGCCGCCCCTCCCATCCCAGAGGGCCACTGCCCAGCCCAGGCTGCACTGGCTGGGGTCCCGCAGGAGGCTGCCTGCCCCCCACAGCACCTCAGCGAGGCTCCACCGCTGCATGGTTCCTGCAGTTTCAGGGCCCTGGTGGCAGGGTTTCCACGCGGAGCCCCCGACTCACCCCCGGGGTGGGGAGGCCCCCCAGTGGAGATCCCGCCCTCCCAGGACTCAGCGTCGAGAGATCTTGAGAAGGGCTTTCACTGTGCCTGGTGGGGCCGAGTGCAGGTGGGGCTGGCAGGGAGGGGACACGGGGGAAGGAACATGGGGAGGGGACACCTGAGAGGCTGGGCCGTTCTGCAAACACAGGAAGCTGGAGAACAGACCTGGAGAGGCGGGTCTGAGCCAGGCAACCAGACACCACGGCTCTCTAGCTTTTCCTGTCCCCGCCCTGTGCAGCTCTGAGACCCCTGTTCACTCCACGGCCTGGCTACTAGTTACAGGCCAAGCCAAGCCAACAGGGCCCCTGACCACTGAGAGCACCAGGCCAGTGTCTGTCCTGGTGGAGGCCGGCTAGGCGGGCACTCACCACTGACCTGTCACTTCTTTCTTAGAAGGGCTGACATTTCCAGCCTGACGCCGAGTCTGGGGCCAAGCCAAGACTTTGCCCTGTGGGGCTCGCTCCTGCTGCAGGAGGCCAGCAGGTCCTGTGTTCCCGCAGCCCACTCAGGCCTGTGTCAGCCCTGGGCACAGGCCGGACACTGCTCTGTCCTCTGCATCCCACACGGGCCTGGGCACCCGGCCACCTGGGGACCCCCTCAGGAGGCCCAGCTGCGCGGGAACCCTCGTAATTGTCTGTGTCTGCAAACTGGAACCCAGGCCTCTCACTGGTTCTTCTTGAGCCCTTCCCACAGGACCCCAGAGTCTGCTTGCTCTGCGCAGTTATGGCCAGCAGAACACCTGCGGGCGGAGACCAAACACAGCACCTCCAAGCGCCTCTGGGACGCTCGCACAGCTGTCTGTCGGGCTCGTCTGAGACCCCCTTTCACTCCGGAGCGAGTAGGAATTGGGTCTAGCAGTCTGACGAAACGGGGTTTGGGGATGGCAGGTCAGCCCTGCGGCCCCCATGTCGCTGCTCGCTGTGACCAGTACCCCACTCTGGGGACAGAAGCGGCCCAGGGCCAGGAGCGAGAGAGGAAGCAACGGGTCTGCTTTCCTGATCCCGTCTTGGGAGGAAGGGGCTCGGAGGGGCCAGGGAGACCCGGTGGGGGCCACGTGCCGGGGCCTGGCTGGCTCCAGAGCCGGACGGTCCAATGCTCAGCACATCAGAGGCCCGGCGAGAGGGATGGTGGGGGCACAGTGTGCGTCTCCACTTGACGTATTTGGTTAGAGACTTGAAGTCGTATCAGAAGTACATACTTGGCTTGTTAACTTCGCCTGGAATTTGCCTAGAATGCCCAACACCCCCCCCCCCCCGTTAAAAACCTCAGGATCCCGGGGGCTGAGAGGCCAACACCAGTCTCAGCTGGGAGTGGAGTGGTTCTGGGAGATTCCCACACAACACCCATCCCAGAAGAGTCTCCACCCGGCACTGCTTTATCTGTTACCCTGTTCAGAACCTTGTCTCCAGGACAGAAGGAAGAAGACACACAGGTGCCTGCAAACTTCTGAGGGATTCAGTGGACACGTTCGAGAAGCCAAAGCTTGGGCCTGAGGGCCCTCACGTAACGGCCCACAGAGCCTGCACAGGGTTTCTGGGCCAGACGGGGTCTGCCCGGTGTCAGGCCCGCCGGCTATCTTGGCCCCGTGATGCTGCGGGAATGGGGGAGGAAGGACGTGGCACAAGCCGCGGGCTGGAATGTGGAGCATGTGCTGACCGCTGGCAGCCTCTGCTCCTTCTTCCAGAAATCTGGGGCTGATGGCAAGTTATAACCCAGGCGACACATGCAAATATGGGCCCGCTGTTCTTGCCAGAGAGGAGGGGCACAGACACCCTTCCCTCAGGACGACACCAGGCCCTGTGCCCCCCACGAAGGCTGCAGGAAACCCACAAGCAAAGCCTCAGAAACCGGCCCCCATCCTCCAGCTGGAGGCACCGGGTGTTTGGGAGCCGGGGGGACTGTCAGAGAGGAGCCCCTGGGCCCGGCCTGTCGGCCTCAATGTAGACATGTGGGAAAACTGAGACATTCCCTTTGTGGTTACAGCTTTGATGTCACAGCAACGGAGAAAACACTGAGCTATGCCAGGCTGACATCGATGACAGCGTTCTTAGGAAGGAACCGGCACAAAGTTGCCTGAGTTGTCCCCATGTGCACGGAGGCCTGGAGGCCCGTCTTCCAGGAGGGCAGCGCGGGGTGTGCCCTTCCCGTGAGGCCGTCCTGGGCCCAGCTCCCGTCTTCACGCCTGCCCGGCGAGGGTAACTGTGCTTTGCACAGCCTCAGGCGTCCGGACCTCCACAGGCCAAGGCGGCATCCGAGCTGCATGGACAGTGCCCGGGCCACACGCGGGGGCCCCCTCGGCCCGCAGGGAGGAGGGGGTGAGAGGTTTGCTCAGGGTCATGGGGGTCCTGGCAGACACAGCCATGGCCACCAGGAAGGAAGGTGTTTCCCAATCTGCCAGAAATGCCCTTAGTGCATCTGGCACGAGATTTATCCCCTGAACACCAGCTCAGGAAACACCCTGGGCCGCCTCCTTCCTTATCTCCCAGGCCACACGCCACCTGGGGGGAAGGTCCAGTCCCACAGGGGTTAGGAAACCATCTTTGCTGTTCAAACAACTGAAGATACTCTGACACCATGAAACCTCGCGTGCAGGGACACAGCCCAGGAGTGCTGCAGCTCCTCCTGCGGGAAAGCTGCTAGAACTAGGGGCTGTGAACCAAACCCCCGGCCCTGGCCGCCGCGTGGGGGATGAGCGAGCACAGCTCTCTCCCAACCTCACCTCCTACGGGGATGTCTGGGGCAGGTCACACGCTTAAACATGAGACACCAGACAACACTTTTATAATCTCAGGACAGATGCGGTCTGAGCCCAGGCACTAAAACCACCTAAGAAACTCGAGTACATAATTTAAAAAGACGAAACTGGTTTGGCAAGTTGACAACAGCAAAAACACAGCTAAGAACAGAAAGCCAAAGTGACAGGAAGCAGGAACTGCTGTGACACTCCCACATCTGCCTGAGGGCCGTGAGTCTGGGTGACTTCTGGGGAAGCGGAAGTCACGGGGACCCTGGGGCAGCAGAGGGCAGGGGCGTGCTCCAGGTCACCCGCGATGTACGCCACAGGTCTGGCTCCTTGAGAGCAGGGGCCCGTCTGCCCAGCATGTGCTCCTGGGAGGCCACCTGGGAGGTACCCCCGCCCCCTACCCCCCACTACATCCATCACTTCCTGTCCCCCGGGGCTGGGGCTGGTGGTGGTGACCCGGGGCGAGTCAGGTAGGGCCAGCGGCTGGTGGGTAGGTGGGGACGGCCACAGTAGTGGGGCCCTGGCCAGCTCTGGTCTGCCGCCTGCCCTCCACGCTCTCCCCAAGGCGCGGTCCGAGCCAAGCACAGGAGACCTGGCGTGCAGGGCTGGCTGTGCACTCAGAGCCACTCCCCTCTCAGGTGGAACAGGTGCATGAAGACCAGTGTGGGTGGGCTGGTGTTAAGTGGACAGCACCGCAGGGCGTGTGGACCAGAGCCAGGGTGCGAGCCAGGCTCCGCTGAGATGGTGCTCGGTGCCACGTGTGGACTGGAATTCATGCAACAGGACCCCCAGAGCGTCACTTCTACTGTATGATCATTCAGAACAGCAACTCTAGTAAAAAGGCTCATGACGAACTGAGGGAGATTTTGCTGCCTTGAGTACAAATGGCTGATCTGCAAAATCTTCCACGGCTCCTACAGAGAAAAGCAGGCAAAGAAAACGAACCATTCACAGAAGGAACGCGAGGCTGCCAGACACGCAGGCCAGCCTCACTCCTCTGGGAGAGACACAGGCTGAACTGACTGGGTGTCGTTTTCCACCAGCAGAGACCAGGCAGTGAAAAGACCCCCCTGGGCTGGTGTGCGGTGGGGACGGGTCTGCCCTCCCGGGGCGCCGGGGCCCGGGGACCGACCTTGGCTCCCCCCGCGACCCCGCCCGGGAATCTGTGCTGCAGGCACGTGCAGACAAGGCTGCCGTCACCCCCGGTCTGTTACGGTGGAACCTGGAGCCGGCTGGGAGCCTGCAACACTCACTGCCAAAAGGCGCCCCCGACCCCCACCCGCCACAGCGCGGGCGCGGACACCGGTGCCAGGCCCACAAAAGCACACGCGGGGCGGCGGGGAGGTCGGGCGGCACAGCGAACTGCCTGCGCCTGTGAGAAACGAGGCGCCGCCTGGGTCTCTCCAGGTCTGAGATATCCTTAGAATCCGTGGCCGTGGGGAAGGGGACGTGACTGAGTGGGAGGCAGGGCTGGACGCGCCTGCTCCTCCCCTGGGAAAGGGCCGCCTCTCACACTGGGCGCACCTCCCGCCTGCTCAGGCAGCCAGCGGCTTCTTGCTTAGAAAAGGAAGCTCCGCGAAAAGGGAGCGGCTGCCGGCGGGTGCTGTGGCTCCAAGACAACGGGGGCACTCAGACTCCTCCTGAAGACGACAGCGAAGCCGAAGCCGCCATGACTCCGGGGCTCCGAGGAAGGAGACAGACTTACTTTGCACGCAGGTGACAAAATCTGGGTTCTTGGCATACGGAGATCCGTGTTTGCTGATGCATGCTGCAAGACAGGACGGGCGGCGCATCACTCTCCATCACGGCCGGAGCGGGCCCACACCACCGGGCAGGGGGCCATTCACACTGAGCAGGCACCACCTCCTCCAGCAGTAGCCCAGCCTGGCTTTTGTGGGCACGGAGCATCTAACACTGGCAAATGGGGGTGCCGCCACCCACATGGAGAACGTGGTCTCCAAAGGGGCACTGGTGGCACGCAGCAGGCCACCCAACCGTGGTCAGAGCTGAGCCTCCACCCGCACCTGGCCCTGGGTCTGGACACCAGTCTCTCTGGAGCTCCTCCACGCGGATCCGGACACTCCGCGCAGGGCCTGGGGCAGGAGCAGGGGTGGCTGGATGAGCTAAACTTGAACTTGGGCACAGGGGTTGTCGACTGTCCCTCCCCTGGCCCTTCTGTAGGTGGCCACTGCTCCCACAAGCCAAGTGGGATGTGGGCGCAGCAGCGGATGGCCCCAGAGGTGGGCTCGGGGGCCACTGCCACCTTTGCCTGAGGAAGCAAGCCCACAGGCCTGGGAGCAGGCCGGCAGGGGGCCCACAGCGGGCTTCTTGGGGCTGCTCACGGGTCCACTCTGCTTACTGACAGATGTGGACACAGAGGGGCACCTCCCAGAGGCTCTAAGGCCAACGGGAACTTTACCAACATGCATTCACACAATGAAAGGGAGGCCCCGGAACACACCGCTCTCCTCGCAAGGGCAGACAGGTCTGGGGGACCCGGGCCTTCCAGGCTGCACTGACGAGACCCGCTGTCGGCCCCGAGGGCCACCAGGGCTTCCCAGAGGCCCAGCGGGTGACCCGCTGCTGAGGGTGTGCCCACACACACCTGTCGTTCAGAGTAAACAGAAACCTTGCTAACGTTCTCGGCCTTAATGAGCAGCATGGCAAGCAGCGATATGCACAGCCCACGCACACGAAAGCCCTACGAGGTCTTCAGTGTCGGAGTCAACAGTCCCGAGACCAAGGAGTCCGAAAACACCAAGTCAGTCAGTCCCACTTAACGAGCTAAGCCTGCAGCCGAGCAGAGCAGAGGGCGTCGCCCAGCTCGCCGTGATGGTGTGAGAGACACAGACCAGGGTTTTGACCCGGGAGCTCTGGGCAGTTCCAGACTCACGTGTGATTAAAGCATCTTTCCTCCAGGAATGACTTAGTGACGGGTCTGACCACCTGTTCCTCCAACATGCGACACACACCCCCAACTAGAAGAAGCAGTGATTTCAACTTACCTAAGTATCTTGGATAAAAATAGTCCTGCAGAAAAAGAGAAGGCAAGAGTTCAGTGGCAGGTACCAGGCGTCCGAGCACCCCCGCCAGCAGCTGGCCACCTGCGCCTCCCTCTCCCCACCCCGGACAGAAATGGCTCCAGGGAGGCTGGCGTCTGAGGAAGGCGCTCAGCACCCATGGGACAGGACAGCCCCGGAAGCCACTTTTTTGCCTGAAGACCACGGGGAGAGGCGTGATGTCTGCAAGCCTGAGACCAGACCTGCTGTGACCAGCACAGGCCACCTGTGTCCACTGAAAGTGCGAGCGAAGTGTCTTGTGGGGGGACGAGAAAAGTTCCAAGAAAACTAAGTCTTCGACCCTCAGGGACGCAGGGCCCTTGGGGAAATTCGAGGCCTCTGTGTGACTCTCAGCAGTTACTGTACTTGGAACACAAGCTACCGGATGGGCTCGGAGGGTATAAACGGGGGTCTTTCCACCCAGGCATGCAGATCAGGAGGTCGGCACAGTACAGGGTGGTCAGACAGGAGGCTGTTGTCCTGACCCCTCCAGCAGCAGCTCCGGGCGTGGGCCCAGACTCACCGCAGCCTGGCCCCCGCGCACCTGGGTATTCTGCTCTGGCCGGCCTCGGAGAGCTTGGCCCTGAAGACCCTCCTGAGGGAGCAGGTGACCGGACGCCAACGTGAACTGCCTGCTGGTGGGACTGCAGGTTCCTATGCTGCTTGTTTGATTACTCCCCACACCAGCCTCCAAGGAGGGTGTCGTAATCAGCCCCCTTATCACAGACCTGTGAACTGAGGCTCCAGGTGGGCTGTGGAGTCTGATGAGGCCCCAGAGCTGGGAGGGCGCTGGGGGGAGGCATCAGAGGGCACAGAGGTGCCCGGCCTGCAGGACACGTGCGCCACCGCGTCTGTCACCTCCACTCGCACGCCCGGCCAGGGCCCCTCGAGCCGGGGCGGGGCGGGGTGCTCACCCTGTGGAGATGCGCTCAGATGCGCTTTTACAAAGTGACGTTCTGGCAAAGATGCCATCTTTTAAACTCAGCTTCTTTAAAAGAAACGTAAAAGTCAACGTAAGTTTGGGATTCAGTTTGTGTGATGGTTTCAAAGGTGACATTCAGTGCAAAGGTGACAAAGAGGCAGGCAGAAGCCGGGGGGCTTCGAGGCTCTAGATCCTCTAGGCTCCCGGGACCCTGAGGCTGGGCTCCACTTCTTTCTCTTGCTTTCAGTCCTGCGCCAGCCGACGCCAGGAACAGAGAAACAAGGAGTCTGGGGCCCTGTGACCAGATCTCTCAGTGCCCCTCGGGGTAGTGGCATCGCCCTGGGCTTAGAGGGAGAACAGAGGCCACTGGGCTTTGTCACAAAGTGGTGATGGGGATTAGGACGGACGCAGAAAGTGCCCACCCAGGTTCAGGAAACCAAGGGTTAGACTGAGAACTGAACGATGGCTAAGAACCGCAGGAAGAGTCCCCAGCGACACACAGATGCCTGCAGACCGCAGCTTTCCAGGAAGGGGTGCTGTGTTTTCCAAAATTGTGACTGGTTAACAGTACCGTGTGACGTGTTTTAGTAACGAATCCTACTGTTGTGAAAAAGCACTGTTAACAGGAAAACAACGCCCTTCTGGCCTCAGGGCACCTGCCCTCAGATGCCACCTGCTCCCTGCGGTCTTGTGAACCCGGGGCCCTGGGAGGACCTGAGCCCGAGGGCAGCTGGGTCCACTCAGGTCTAAAGTGAGGCTGCGATTTGTTCTGAAGCCACAGGGGGAGTTTCTCTGCATGGCCCTGTCTCTGCTCCTGATGAGTCTGGCCCGGCGGCCGCCTCACCGATGACAGAAGGTGCGGTGAGAGCCTGTGGCTGGTGAGGTCCTTGAGAAGCCCCTCCGTGGACAGACCTCACACCGGCCTCCACCTGTGCTGACCACCAGGACCCCGACTTCCCAGCGGGGTCTGTGCCCAACAGCGACTCCACCCCTCAAGGCAAAGGTCAAGAAATGCAGGGAGCAGCCCACCCTCACTGGGCTGGGTCAGCGAGGACTGTCGACTGGCCACCCCCAGCACCCTCACTGCGGGACACTTGGTTCTGGAACTGCAGCTCCAGAAGCAGCAAGGACCTTGGGCAAGCCTCCTCCAGGCAGCCCGCCTGCCTGCAGCTCCAAATCCCCTACATGCACTGTCCTGTGGGGTCCCTCCCTGGGCCTCTGTGGCTGGGTGGGGAGGGGGCTTTCTGGGGGTCTCTCTATCAGACGTGACGCTCTGAGGGCAGATTCGCCTTCTGAAAAGAGTCAAAGACATGGGAGCCAAGTCTGTTGGAACGTGCGCTATTGAGATGGAACCACCACCTGGGCTCAAACAGCACAGGACTGAAAACAGCCGCCTCCTGCAGCTTATAAACAAGGCACACTTGCAGCTGGGAAGGTTCTGGAACTTGGCCTCCGATGGCTACCGAACACCTTCATGTCCAAACCTCTGGGCTCCCCAGAGGCCAGGAACATGGTGGCAGGGCCCAGGTAAGCCACGGATGAAAGAGGGCCTCCAGCCCGACACTGCGCAGCCTTCCCCACGGTGCCCTCACTGCCTGCCCCCCATGGACGGATGGATGGACTGGGCAGCGCCCTTCCCAGCTCGGCTGGGAGCCCCGTGGATGCAGCCTTGCACACACCGGGTCGGGGTGCAGGATTCACTCTGTCGTGGAGAATCCGGGAGTTTCACCTGGATTTACACGAGGGAACAGGAGTCACGTAGCACATCACAATACATGTGGCTACTTCTCAAACAGTAAACTAAGAATTGATTACTTCCTTTGATGGATAACTGCCCCAAAATTTGTTTCCAAAAACCTATGGTCCTTGACGAGGCAGGCGGACGCGCGGGTGTGATGCACACTTTGCCTGTTGATGTGCCACGTGCAGAAGGTCTCACCCCAGGAAACAGTCAGAGGAACTGACTAATCCTCTGGCCACAGGGGACCCTTGGGGGTGGCTACAGACCCCTGGAAAGCCCAGCTCTCCGGGTCCTTTCACACCAGTTTAGGACGATACTTGCTGCTGTCCAGATGCTCAGGGCCCTGGCAAAGCAGTTGTGGCCTTGGGTGCGTGGAACCTGCGCCCCTTACTCACCAAGTGCTCCCGCTGCAGTATGCACCTGCCCACAGCAGCTTCTCGCCACACGGCCTCCACGTGCTTCCCACCTGCTCTGGGCACCCAGGGCACCAGCTGCTGGTGAGGCACCTGCAGGAAGCCCTGAGCGAGTCCTCCAGCCCCTCTGGGTCAGCCAGGCCCTAAGGCAGAGGTTGGCAGCCCTGCCCCTGTCCCCCAGCTGCGGCTGATGGCTCAGGTGACAGGCGACTGCCCAGGCCCCCAGGGAAGTGGAGGAGCGGCTGGTTCCTCCAAGCTCTGGGTTACGAGGTACAGCATAGGTCTCTGACGTGGTTAATGACAGCATCGACTGCCAGGTGTGGAAGTGCTTGTGGACAAATGAACCGTGTAGAACAGGTCTGCTTCCGCACACCTCTCCCCCGCGGCAGAGATTTACAGCTGCTGCCCACGATCCGCGACTCTCCCTTCATCCTCAGTAACAGAACTCTGGATTTATTTGGAGCTGCAATGCCTCCAGCTACGAGACTACACTTCCCAGCCTCCGTTGCATCTAGGCTGGTCATGTGACTAAATTCTGGCCAATGAGATACAGAGAGTGAGACTGAGTGAAGAGAGTGCGGCATGTTGGTTCTCCATCCTCCTTGCCGGAATGCAGATGTGATGGCTGGTGCTCCAGCATCTTACCCAGTATTATGAGGAGGCCTGGAAGACAAGGCCGTGCACCAATCCTGTGGAGCACACACAGGCTGTGTGAGTCCTGGGGCACTCGCCATTGAGCAGCCCT